CAGAAGGATGATTAGGTAACTAGTTACCACAAGAGGTATCAGTTTTTAAATAATCTTTAAAATTAGCAAAATTGTTTATGAAAAATATTGAGAGTTTAGTTATTAAAATAATGCAACATTTCTGTTTTAGATCACATCTAATGGCCTCTTGCTATAAAAACGAATACACTTATACTTTTCACTCACTTCCTGATTTTGTTAGATATACTATTGTTTAAGATCAAACATTTACTCTATAACCACAGTTCCCATCACTGGCTTGTCTTAGTTCAGTGTAACTGACCACTCATCTGTCAGTTTGTTGTACTGTTGTGCCTTGCATGTTGCTGAGATGCTGGAAGCTAGGCCACCTGTCCTTCAAATACCAGCAGGGCTGCCCATGGTGCACAGGTTTCAGGGGAGTTTCTAAACTAAGACAGACTTAGGAAGAAGGGCCTGATGATTTACATATAAAAAAATTGGCCAATGCAAGCTTTGTGAACAGCAGCAGAACACTGTCCATCATTGGGCCAGAAAATGAGCTCCTCAGATTAGAAGGTGCTCAAAAACATGGTTAGGAAAGAGCTGCCCCCTCAAAGTAAAGTCAACTTAATAATGTGGATGGAGTAAAGCTTTACAGAGCTTCATTTGCTGATGTGGCACAATTCAAAATGAGAAGAAACAGCTGTGAAACATTCATTAATAATCAGAACAGGGAATGTACAAAGTATGAATCTAGGAAAATTGGAAGTTGTCAAACATAAAATGGAATATATAAAGATCAATATCCTAGTCATTAGTGAGCTGAAATGGACTGGTATTGGCCATTCTGAATCGGACAATCATATGGTCTACTCTGCTGTGAATGACAAAGTGAAGGGTCATGGTGTTGCATTCATCATCAAAAAGAATATTTCAATATCTATCTTAAACTACAACACTATCACTGACAGGATAATATCCATATACCTACAAGGAAGATCAGATAATATGATTATTATTCAAATTTGCACACCAACCACTAAGGCCAAAGATGAAGAAATTGAAGATTTTTACCAACTTCTGTAGTCTGAAATTGATCAAACATGCAATCAAGATGGACTGATAATTACTGGTGATTGGAATA